AATCAACCACTAACTCTCATGGAGAAGTTGGTTCCATCATGTGGTATCAAGAGCCATGGTTGTCTTCAAGGGTAACTTGTCTCTTCTCTTTTGTGTCTTCTAAATGTTTCTTGTCATGTCTATGTCTTCTCATATGTCTTGATGTTATCCTCTAAAATATTGCTTAAAATGTTGTCTTCTTGTTGAGTGGTTCATTGCATTCTCATAAGAGTGGGAGAAAAAAGAAAAGAAAAATATGCTCTTTTTAAGTATGTATATTAATTTCTCTCGCCTTTCCTTTTAAAATTTTCTCCAGGGAGCAAATTTTGCTGATGTTATACAAATGGCTGACATCTTTGAGGGAAGTATCATTCGGAGTGCTAGAAGGCTTGACGAGTTTTTGAATCAGGTATACAAATGTCCACTCTTTATAAAATAACCACTTGGTTTCATTTTTGACTATGATCTAGCTTAAAACTTGCATCTTGCAAATGGGCCCTTCTATTCAAGAATTGGAAAAGAGCAAGTAAATCTGAAGCTGGGGGTTTGACAGCACGACTCAAAAAGTGTGCTAATCTCAAAAAATGGTCCAAGTCCACTCCAATTGTGCAAGGGTAAAATGGTAATTGTCCACAAGTCTAGCAACAATTTCCTTTTGAATTTTTTTTTCTCTTGTATTTTTCCAGCCAGATTTTGGTGCAGCCCCTTGGTCAGTTTTTTTTTAATTTTAACCTTGTTATGTTGCTTGGTTTTTACACTTGTGGGTGAATTAAAAGTAGCACAAGCACCTAAAACAACTTTCAACTTAACCAAATCACTAAATTGAAATGGCAACCTTCACAGAAAATAGCGTATCAGGAGTTATACTCCTCCTACCATACTCATCCTTATCTGATATGAAAGATAAGAATATTTCCTACAACTCTCAAGAAGACACCAAGTCCAAATTCCTTCATCTACCTTGTTAATAATTCTAAAAACCGCAACAGCTATGAGCAATGCTGGCAGCTTGACCCCTCTTCACTATAACAGCCATATCTGGAGTTCTAGAACTCCTTTTTGGGTGATTCAAACGCCATTGGAAAGCTAAGATCCAAGGCTACAACTTTGATGAAGACTTTAAGACCAAATTAGGTCATCAAGACCCACCGCTGCAGCGATCAATCCAGAACTTTAGCTGCAACTCTCTGCCAGTTCAATTTGCCTTCCACAGCCATGGCTGCAAATCCACAGCCATAGCTGCAAGTTTCTGCCATTTCAATTTTCCCCCACAGCTATGGCTGCAAAACCACAGCCATGGCTGCAAGTCTCTGCCATCACGTTTTTTCTTCCCACGGCTATGGCTGCAAATCCACGACTATAGCTGTGGGTGCTGCAAATCCACGACTATAGTTGTGGGTTGAAAGTCTCTGCCATCACGTTTTCCTTCCCACGGCTATGGCTGCGAATCCACGACTATAGCTGTGGGTTCCTGCAAGTACATTTTTCTTCCACGGCTATAGCTGTGGGTTTCTGAACTTCCAAAAATCTCCATGGATTTCACCTTCGTTTTCACTCAAAACCTCCATGAACTTGCAATCCAAGGAGACCCAAACCATGCTACAACTTAAATGCAATACTACCAACCACATGCAACTCAAAAACCTCAAGAATCACAACATGCATGCATCCAAAACTCAAGAAGAAAAATAATCAATGTCCAACCTTCCATCAAGAACCAAAAACCCCAACTTTACCCACATGCAACCAACACAACCAGAAAATCCCCAAATTTTATCCAATCCCGAAAACACATTTTCCTTCAAGACAGCCCATGAATCAGCCAACATCAAACATCTCATGAGTTTCTAAACTCATTTCCAACCAATCCAAGCTAAAACTAGCTTCCCTTACCTTAGTGAGACGATTCCGAGCTCCGGGAAGAGAAAGGAAGAAGAAGGAGAAAAGAAATCCACACTCGGCTAGCTCCGCATGGCTTCACTCTAGAGACCTCCTAGGTGTTCACGGCTTCAGCTAAAGAGAAAGGAATTTGAGAGTGAAAATTCAAAGTGAAAGGAGAAGGGAAAGTATAAGGTGAGTGACGAGAGGGAGAAAAGAGAGAAGAATGCTACAGGGTCTCACAGTAATAAATTAAAATAATATAATATTAAAATAAATCAATAAAATTAATAATATTATTTAGTAATTTAGGTAAATTTTTCTTACTTTAAATATATTTTACAAAATTTTACAAATTTTATTCATGTGAGGTAAGATATGTAACTGGAAGAGAAATATGTAAAATTGTAATTGTTGATTTAATTATTTAGTCAAACTTCGTATTTTATATCCTTTAATACATATTAACGTTAATGGTAAAGTAGATGGTTTATAATTTTATTTTGAATTTTTTTGAAGAAATAGGAAATAGACTTTAATTTTATATAAAATTGTCATACTTTACTCTAATATAGACTTTATAGTAAAATAAAATTATTAATTGAAAAATATAGTTAAAATTATAATAAAACTAAAACATGCATACATTTATAACAAACCATTGAATTCCTAAAATTTAATCAACCGATAATTAACGATTATATATTTTCATTCTTGCCTTCGAAGTATATTTACTGAACTCAAATTTTATTATAAGAAAAAATATTGAGTCCAATTTCAGTGATATAAACCATCTGTTACAAACAATATTTGACTTTTTGACCAAACAACTTTAGATTACGACTAAATTTGTTTCTTTTTAATAGTAATAAATTTTCTTATTTCTAGTATAATGATCGCAAGCTTTTTTATTATATTCTCTTTCATTTTTTTTTCTTAAGTAATGTGTATTAATTATTAATATATAAATTAATTAAGAGTTAAGTGAAATATAAGAGTATAACTGATAAAAAAAATCAAATCAATGTGATCTTAAATTTTTAAAACAATAAATAAATCAAAACGAATATTTACTAAAAATAAAACGGACAGTTAAAAAGGAATATGAATATAATCTATGAATATGAATTGTAATCCAGTAATCTTATATGAGATGCGATGAGATAAATATTATACTCTCTTTTATTTTTTTTCTTTAATTAATGTGTATTATATATAAATTAATTAAGAGTTAAGTGAAATATAAGAGTATAACTGATAAAAAAAATTAAATCAATGTCATCTTAAATTTTTAAAACAATAAATAAATAAAAAGGAATATTTACTAAAAATAAAACGAACAATTAAAAAGGAATATGAATATAACCTATAAATGTGAGTTGTAATCCTATATGAGATGCGATAAGATATACATTTTCGCTCTGCTTCTAAGTACCTAGGCACATTATCTAACCTCATTAATTATGCTCTGTTCTTTGATTTTATTTAATAGATTTTAATGATAAAACAATAATTATTAATATCAAATGCATTTATTTAAATATATTATAGATAAATTTGTATAGCTTTAAAAAACTTTTAAAATTTCCCCTCATATCTTATGCATCAAGGATGAGTAAGTTAAGACAAGAGATGTCTATATTTATTAATAAATAGAATATCTCTTTTTTTATTTACATAAATTTTAGATAACTTATTTTATAATTATTTTTAAATTACTTTTTTTTTTGTTTATTTATTTACTTACTTCAATGTGACATTCATTTTTTAAACTTCTTACTCTTAATTAAGTAATTACTCATTTATTTTGTTTTGTTTTTTAAATAGAGACATAAAATATCTATTTTCTTCTAGTTATATAAAAGAAAAAATACATTTTTGTATATATATATATATATGTGTGTGTGTGTATGTATGTATTCCATTTTTTGTATTATAGTGATAAAAATAAAATCAATTATAAGTTTGAATTCTTTAAAAAGTAAAATTAAACCAAAGACGAATTTTAAAAAAATAAATTTTGATTTTAACAAAATGGTAATTTTACTGTTTAAATATATTTATATTTACTGACATCTTTATTTAATTTATTATTTAGTGATACCAAATAATAGATATAATTAAAATTTGGGTAATGTTTTTTAAACACCTAAATAAACAGAAACCCTAATTTACATCCTTAACTTGGGTCTATCTGTCTCTTTTGACTTGTTGTTGTCACACATTTTATCAAGAGAGAATTTTTGAACAGCTAAAGCTTGTGGTACATTAAAAACACATTTGTTAGGTAATAAAAACTGGAATATTTAATAATTTAAATAATGTAAAAATGAAAAAAGTCGTTCAGACATAATGTTATTCATAGATTTTGCTGTATGTATGTATGTATGTATAAAACATTAATTTTCCATCATGAATCGTATAAATTTTTGATTCTTATATTTTTGGTGTGTAGAGAATCTTTTTGGTTGAAATTTATCATAGTTCTGGTTATCTTAATCCCATATATGTATGGCAGCGCGGCAGATGAAAGTAATGATAAAAGAAAGTGGTGAGAGTAAAATAATAAAGGAAATACGGATGTTAACCCTGTTATCAGTATCACGATTCACATCCAATCCAGCACTATATATAATGATGATTGATGAGGTGAGAATTGAGATCCAATCCAACACGAGAATCGAATGGATCCACCCAAATTCCTAATCCAAGCCTCCGAAGCCCAATCCATGGCCGAAGCCGCCTCCCTCACTCTCCCGGAACTCCTCCCAACCCTGGTGAGCGCGGCCCAGACCCTGGCCAGGCCCCCAATCTCGAACTACCGCGTGGCCGCGGTGGGCCTGGGCTCCTCGGGCCGCATCTTCGTGGGCGTGAACCTGGAGTTCCCGGGGCTCCCCCTGCACCACGCGGTCCACGCGGAACAGTTCCTGGTGACCAACCTCTCCCTGAATGCGGAGCCCCGCCTGGTGTCCCTGGCGGTGTCGGCCGCCCCCTGCGGCCACTGCCGGCAGTTCCTCCAAGAAGTGCGGGGCGCGGGCGATGTGGAAATCCTGGTGACCTCCCACTCCACCCAACAATTCAGCCCACTCTCCCGCTTTCTCCCCCACAGCTTCGGCCCCTCCGACCTTCAGCACCTGGACTCTCCCCTTCTCTTGGAGCCACACCACAACGCTTTAACCCTTCCCCAACACGTGGCACTGCCACCTCATAAGTTGAAGCTTCCGGCTCTCGACGCCGCTAACAAATCCCATGCACCCTACAGTGCCTCCCCCTCCGGCGTCGCGCTTCTCGATTCCCTCGGCAACGTCTTCCAAGGCTCTTACGTCGAATCCGCCGCCTTCAACCCTAGCCTCGGACCCCTCCAGGCCGCCCTCGTCGCCTTCGTCGCCGGCGGAGGCCACGACTACCACCGGATTGTCGATGCCGTCTTGGTCGAGAAGGACGCCGCCGCCATCAAACAGGAGGACACGGCGCGCTTGTTGCTCCAATCCATCTCCCCCAACTGCCACCTCACCACCTTCCTTTGCCACTCCCAACCTCATTCCGATCAACTTAATTTCTCGCTGTAGATTCTACGAATCATCAACACCAACAATAATTATAATATATTCAATTCAATATATTATTGCCTCCTTCTAATGCTTTCTATACCATCCTATTCCTATGCGTTGTTTCCCTTAGGATTAACTTTTATTTATTTATTTCCATGTTTTGCTTCACTTTGGCCTTATGTTCCAATCCAACCGATCAGCTTCACATATTTCTTAATCTTTTTATTCCATGATTTTCGAATCTACATCTGCGCTATGCATCTGCCTCTCTTCATAATTAACACACAATATTATATTCACATTTTTCTCTAGACCAATTGAATTGGGTAAACCAAGACGCACCCATTGTACAGGAGCGTGAGCGTCCAACCGCACCCCTCACCATTCTAACTATTTATTTTTATAATTCAAATATTATAAACAATACATGAAAAACACTATTTAAAGTTTTTCGCTTCATGAAAACATACACTTCTTTTGTGGTACTGGCCATAAATGACCATGACCTAGAAGAATCGCGTAACACCAAACTCTGATGTTCTATTATATAGCAACATGGATGCAATGGCAGAAACAATCCTTTTCATTTGAAAAAATAAATACATGTTACGAAATATTTATTATTTTTTATATAAAGAGAGTTACACATGTAAATACATTTAGATGCAAATTAAAAACATTGAAAAAAAAAAAAAAAGTATTTTCTTTTATCTTCGTTTGTTTGAATGGTACTTTAGGGACGTAGTAGTGTCATCCTGTCAAAAGCATGCATGGTGTCTTGTCCTGTATATATATCAGCATCCAATTCAGTGGCACTTGTACTTTTTGGCCCACATTTTCTTGCCTTCCAATGGGTGGCTTGTGGAGTATGATTCGGTACATCACCCTCCAAAATTATTCAATCTTTTCAACACACCTTAGGTTTAATCAAAACCTCCCATCTTTCTTTCTTGTCAATAACCTTTCTTTCTTAACGCACAAGCTATTATAAAGTGATTCTTGGATGGGCCTACTATGAAAAGTTGAGTTTATCTGCTTCCTACGTATAGTCATCAATAGGGGCAGTTTCATCGATAGCCCCCACCCAAAACTCCAAAAGAGGGATAGAAAATAAAAGAGTAAAGAGACTCCATTTTAATTTAATGTAAAACTGTAAAGCTGTTATCATCATTCATCACAACAGCATGCATTTTCCTTTATCCTACTCGTCTAAGCACAATTTACTTTGTAAAGAACATTGCTGCCCTATCAAAACAGGACTAGGTGCTCTGCTCTGTATGCAAATTCATTGGTGGGGCAGCTGGAATGTACTAATTTATTACTCAAAACCCACTTTGGGTAGTTGCAATTACCACGTTATGATGCCGAATTCGTACTTCAATAGGTGAAACCTCGAGTTTCTTTAACCTTGGTCCTAGTAAACTCATACTATGCTACTTTTAGTTTTACAAGAGTTTCAATTAGGACGCAATTAGGTAATTGAATTCTTGGTTTGGCCCTCATAAGATAAATGACATTCTCAAATATCCACTCACTTGCATAAAATACAATAAGAGACTAGATTCTGATCGATGACAAAGAAAATAAAACAAAATCATTCAAGTTTAGAAGAGCAATTAAATAATCGAAATTAACCAAAGGGAAGTAAAAAAAAGAAATGTGAAATCTCGTGATCCTAGATTGTGACTCAATGTGCGACATTGTAAATGTACTACTAAGAAGTAAAAGAAGAGGACAAGAGAGATTAGATATTTTGTATTTCTTGTCACGCTTCCTATTCACGGTGAACAGACACTGTCTCTATGATTACAGCATGGACCAACACAATCATCAGCCCAACAGTATTCCATTGGTAGAATTAAAAGCAATTTTATGATGTGAAACATGAAAAACTGAACAACCAATGCTCACTGCTGGAAGAGAAAGATCTTCAACACAGTATTTCTAGCTTCTTATCTTTCCAACACATTTTTTATTTATAATTAAGTGACTTTTTCATGGATCTTACCAGTATCAAATAAACAGAGGAATATAATTATTTAACAAAACTCATGTGAATTTCACTAACAATTCTTTAATCCTTATTATCCCGTAACAGTTATTGTTAGGGTATGTTAGGGTATTTAATTGCTTATTTCAGTTATTTGACTGAGATTCTAATTATTCTATCATAATTAGCATATAGTTGAGTTTTTTTTTTTAAATATGTTGACATAACTTCAATTCTATAACCGTGTGTATAAAAGAAAACTTGGTTAAGGAAAAATAAAATCTATTTTGATTATCTCTACACTTTGACAGGAATTAGTTAATTTTCAATTATCCGTTGAAAGATGCCTTTGGTTCATGTTAAAAAAAAATAAAAATCTTTCCACATTTTTTGTCAAAAGAAATTAACTTGAAATGAGAGAAACATTTGTACATTGAATTAATTACACATTATTTTATAAATTTGTTTCTCTCATCTTGCATAATTTCATAAATGTTACCGCTCAATTTATATAATTTTGCACATTTTACTTTAACATTAAATGTTTGATAAAACATAAGCGATCCTGAGGAGGCAAGTAACATGTGTATTGATTAATGAATATTATTAAATATTTTATTTCTTAAAATATTTTGAAAATGATTTTATATAATAAAATAAAATAAAATAACAAACGTGTGTTATTGTCATTGTATAATACCATGGTCAACAAGTCAGGCATTACTCACTTAGGGGAATCATAAGATTATTTTAAGATAAAAAAAATCTTGTAAATTTTAAAAACTTTGTAAGAATTTAATGTTTTTTTTTATAAATATTGTACTAATGTAATGACTTTTAAGATTTTTTTTAAAAGACTTTTCTAATTAAGATTTTCTAATATAAATTTTAATAAATTTGTATCTTAAGAATTTATATTATTTAAAAAGATTTTATTAGATTTTAAATGATAATATGATTTTTTTTAAAAAAATTAATAAAAAAATAACATAAATGACGGGGTCTGAATAAATAAAATAAAATTTTTAATCTTTTAATAACACAATTAATTTTATTTTCATGTCCTCTTAAGTAACATTTCTTTATATACAACTTTTTGTGCACTTATATTTTCTTACTCATACTATTGAATTTGAACAATATGTTTAAATTTATAATATTCATTGGTCGATAGAATTTTCAAAATATATTTTTAATATAATTTTCAAAATATATTTTTAATATATGTTTAAAATTTTGATATTTCAATATTAAATTTTATTGAAAATAAGTATTTGTTAAATTTTAATAACTTACCAAATTTAACAGTATATGATATTTAATAATTCAAAGATAATTTTAAATATTTAATAATTAAAAATAAATTTTGATAAATCGTACATTAATACTCATATATAAAAATGTAACTAAAAAATATTGGTAATAAAAAAAGATAAGAGAAAAAATAGAGAAAGGGAGAAGAAGAAAAGAATGAAAGAGATGAATAAAAGGATAAAAAGAATATGATACAAAGAGAGAGGAGAGGAGAAAGAGAGAAAAAAAAAAAGCAAAGGAGAAAAAATATATGGAAGAAATAAACAAAAAAAAAAGTCACACGAAATATCAATAATTTTGATGAGACTATTAAACAAGTGAATTATACATAATTTTTATTAAAAATTCTTATAAAATTTATCTATCAAAATAATTCATTGAAATATTTATATATATTTTTAATACAAATAGACTTTTTTATAGTAAATTTTTTTAATTGAATACCACCTGATTTTAAAATATTAGTAAAAAAATCTTATTTATCTTTATTGAATATCATCAAATTTTATATATTTAAAAAAAATATTAATTATATTAATTAAATATAATGTGATTTTTTATATTAAAAATAAAATCTTGATTATTATAAGAGGTTTTTTATAATAATTTTTTTAAAAAAAAATCTGAATGCAATACAACTCCCTCAATATCTACTCCTCTTATGTTAGGGTTTTGAATGCCATTTCTAAAGATCATAACTTATGCCAGGTTTTTGAATGTCATTTCCAAATTAAGTTCATCATAGAAGGTGAGAGACAAATTTTGCAAGTTGTTTTTTTTTTTTTTGTTTTTTCCTCTTACTCCAAATTGCGAAGACATCGTTAAAATCTGTTATTGCGGGGTTGAAACTCTTTGATGACTTTTTTCCCCAATTAGAAAGGAATAAAAACAACAGAGGAAAAAATAAATGAACAATAAATAAAAATCATAAAAAAATAACTTAAACCAACTGATATGATATGACAACAGCATGGACAAATCTACTCTTTAGAATTACGAGGAGGGATGACAAATAAATTCGTACTTGTGAATAATATCTAAATTTGTGACTTTAATGAGAAGAATACCTAGTCAAATCAAGTATGGATACAAGTAAAATCCGAAATATTAAACTGGGGACGGATATATACTTACTCATCTCATCCCGATCCTCGTCCCTGTCTCCATCTCCAGTTTAATATCCGTCCATGATTTAATTATTTTTTAAAAAATTAATATTTAATTACATGTAATTGTTTATTATAATTTAAAATATTTGTAGTTATTTAACTATTAAGAAGTCTCTTAATTAAAATATAAGATGGACAAACAACTCAATTACAATTATAATATAATGGAAAGATAAGTTAAAAATATTGTATGTGTTCTTTTTTTGCAAAAAAAAGATAAATAATTTTTTACGAATACAAATATACCTGATATCCAACAGAGATAGGGATGGGACAAAAAGTTATATGTCTGACGGATACATACGGGACAAGGATAGGTTTGAACCGTGAAAATGAAAATAAGTATCATAAAATTCATACTTGACTCGCTCCGTTGCCATACCACTGCTAACTTTCCAAGTTTTTTTTAACCTATCCATATTTTTTTTATATTGTTTCAATTTGGTGTACCAAATAAATACTATCATAGTTATCTTTTTTTAATTATTATTTAAAACAATATTTTAATATTATGAAAAGTTAGTTCGGTAGCTCCATTTTACCCATAATTCATGTTCAGCTTTCAATTTTCATCAAAAATTAAGTGTTCTTATTTTTATTTATCCATTCTATTTGTATGTTTAGGAAAAATATTGCATGTTAAGAATATTATACTAAGATTTAAATATGTTTTTAATCTTTAAAATTTAGGATACGTTTTTTTTATCCCTCAAATTTAACACTATTATTTTTAGTCTTTATAATTTTTAAAAATTTTACATTAATTCTCTAGGTTACCAATAAAATATTTAAAAATTAGAAATTGAGATAATTATATATTAATTAGGTTAATGTGATATTTTTACTAATAAAAGTATCGGTAAATAAATTTTATGTGACAATATTTGAGAGTTTATCTAACAAAATTTGAGTATAAATATTAAAATAATTTTTTTTAAAAATTATAAAAATTAAAAAGAATAATTTTAAACTTAAGAGACTAAATATAATTTACCTTAAATTTAAAGGATTAACAATATATTTAAATTTTATGTTAATTATAATTATATTGATTTTAACCTTAATACTACAACGACAATTACATTAGGTGATAAAGTTTTTCCTGCTATAAATATTATAATAATCAAATATGCGAAATCATGAAAAATTAATGATTAAATAATTATTTAGTTATTTATATATAAAAATAATTTTTAATAATATTGAAAATAAAAAAAAATATGTAAAAAAATAGTACTAAAAATAAATAAATAAAATCGTCCAATACTTTCAAAATATAAAAATTCATAAAAAAAATTATGATATATATTCATGTTTATAAAAATGTTATATTATATTTTAAATGCTTCAAATTTATGTATATAAATATCTTCTGACTACAAAAAAATTTTCAATCCGGCACTTGACAACAGGCTGCCATATCTGACCTTTGTAACCCACGTGTATGAATTGTTGCCTCCCAGTTTTGTGGTGCATATTGTGAAGATGATTGATATACATCCTTCCAAAAATCAATCGAAATAGCTTTTGAATCTTTCAAATTTTTATATTTTTAATAAATTTATTATAAAATAATTATTTAATTTAATATTTTATAATTTAAATTATTTTTTTAAGCATTCGGAATAATTTTCTATTGTGAAATCAACGATCAATAAACTGAAAGAGACAGAAATTAACTAGGCAGACACAAGTTAAGAGACAGTAGCGACAATAGCTGTAATAATAATAATATATAGTCTTCTAGAAACACGTGATTCAAATGCATAATAGTAAACAATCAATTCATCCTAAAATCATTCTAAAATTAATATCACTACTTGTTTTGGTCCTTCATTACGTGAAAAAGAAATTTTAATCTTAATTTTGATAATAACTATCAATCTATTTTTAACTTTACGTTGAAAAAAGTAATTTAATTTTTATTATAATAATTGTCGAGAGGAGTATAAGTGAATTGCGATAAACTCCTAAGTTCATTGCTCGATCTAAATTTTAAAATAACTAAAAAAAATATTAATCATCTAATATATATAATATATGAGACAATAAATAAAATTAGAAACATACATAATAATGCATTCAATATTACTATATTACATAGAACTATAGGCATATGTGATACATCACATAAAATCAAGTTAATATATATATATATATATATATATATAAAATTCTTATTAGTGTTGTGTGAAAAATACATCATGTCACATGTGATTTGTAATTGTTGTATATTAATGTATCATACAATTATTAAAAGTTGAAATAATTGTGTATTATTATTTTTTAAAAATTATTTTAATTAACTAACTCGATTACATTGGCCCGATAGCAATCGAGTTGAGTTGCTTAAAAAAATAAAATATAAATTCAACTCAATCCACCGGAATGATGTAGACACATTCCATTCATCCCAATTGGTTCTAAGTCTCACCACTCACCCTAAAATAATAGCTCAGCAGATTAACAAGCTAATAATCTACTATTCATACTCATTAGGCATAAACACGTGATGTAGTAAAAAAATTGCTTGCAAAACAGAGTGGAGAGGGAGCTGTTAGTCATGGGAAAATAGTGTCTCACTCTGTAACGAGTATAAGGTTAAGGAGGGGAATCATCCCTCAAAAGCTGGCCCAAGAGGTTGGAGAACCTCCCGCCTTATAAGGAGCCTCCTTGGTGAGGTGAGGAGACCTCCCCGATGTGGGACTTGTTACATTACCACCCCCTTCGAAAGCCAGCGTCCTCGATGGCTGCACTCCACGGTACTTCACTCACCGGCACTTCACTCGGCCTTCTTGCCGGTCAGAACCCTCCGTGGGTAGCCCTTCTCGATTTGGCTGGCTCTCAATGAAAGCACCATTGTAACGAGCATAAGGCTAAGGAGGGGAACCATCCCTCAAAAGCCGGCCCAAGAGGTTGGAGAACCTCCCGCCTTATAAGGAGCCTCCTTGGTGAGGTGAGGAGACCTCCCCGATGTGGGACTTGTTACATTACCACCCCCTTCGAAAGCCAGCGTCCTCGATGGCTGCACTCCACGGTACTTCACTCACTGGCACTTCACTCGGCCTTCTTGCCGGTCAGAACCCTCCGTGGGTAGCCCTTCTCGATTTGGCTGGCTCTCAATGAAAACAGCATTGTAACGAGCATAAGACTAAGGAGGGGAACCATCCCTCAAAAGCCAGCCTAAGAGGTTGGAGAACCTCCCGCCTTATAAGACCTCCCTGGTAAGGAGACCTCCCCGATGTGGGACTTGTTACACACTCATTAACACAACAGCTGAAAAAATAGGGAAAAATAAAAATCCCATGCACGTGGATCTCTAGTTATTGAATATATATAAAAGTCTGATAAAAATATTCAAATAGGATAATTATTTGCATACCCATTTTTCAACACGCATTTCACACGAGAGATTTTATGTGGACGACTTTGTAAAAAATCATTATCACATTTAAAATGTTATTAATAGAGAATAGCATCTTTAACTAATAACAATAAAAACATCCGCAAAGCACAGAAAAGAAGCATACAAAACAAAAGCAGCATTATCTAATCACAGTATCACACACTACTAAAACACAATCAATTACAATATGAAGCACCTAAAACATTTGTTTGACTTTGACTACATACGCTTGGAGAATGAGCCATTAGGAAGGTGCTGTTTGATAACTAACCAAGCTTTTTACCCTTTATATGCACAATGGCAAGGATTTTGAGAATACGTTAGTCAACTCAAAATCCATATAGTGTCTGACTGAAATGTTCTCCCGCTATTTACTAGGTGGTCGATCTGCCGATGAAGAAATTAGCATGGAAATACATATGGAGTTGGAAAACAACATGGATGAGATTTGATGGAAACAAACTGAAGATTCTGTAGTCCTTTAAATTAATAAAGAAAATTTGATTCGCAAGCTAGTTTAGCTATTACACACTCCATATTAGCTATCAGAGCTCAGTCTATTGCAGAAATTCAAAGCATGAAATTTTTTAAGACATGAGTTACTTAATTTTAAACACAATAAAGACAATGGCAGTGATATGTTAATGAAGTTATTATAAGTAAAGAAGATCAAGCAGCAGACATGATGAGAATTGAGAAATTAAAACAACTAAAAGATGGACTCAGTTTTTGGTTAAAATCCATGGATCCTTGTTTGTAGGCAATCTGCGATTAGAGATCCAAATGGGGACCTCACTCTATCCCAAGAACATTAAAATCCTGACCCTGTGATCGTATATTACTCACAGACCCAAAATAATACAGTACATTGTTAAAGCTAAGCTTTCCCTCTACTTGTACAGCTCATAACAAACAAAATTGGAACTAAATAGATGGAAGTACCTTTATTACATATAGACTAATTTCAGTGATCGCATGCAAAGGCACGTGATACCTATTTTCCAGCATGTTCATATTTCTGATCTGAGCGCATCACTCCTGTAGAGCACATTATCTATCATGCAGATGCAGCTAGCAATCAAATATTTTACTCGCTAATGTTCCACATCTGATATGTTGTGCAGTGTTCGCCAACAAAAACTCACATAGTTTATGCATCAGATAGAAGAACAGACTGCGCAAATGAGGCAGAGCCATTATTGGGTGCACCCTTTATCTTGAGAATAGAAGTAACTAAATTGTAAATCTCAACATTCTCAAAGGAGGGTATCTTCCTCCCTCTAGCAAACTGAGGACCATGTCCAATGAAAATAGTCCTCATGGAGAAAACCGCATTGTCATAACCATGCGAACCGCCACACTCCTGGCGCTTGGTTCTCTTCTGCTCAACCTTGAAACCTTCCTCAATCAACCCAATCACCGGCGCTATCCGATCACTCGCAGAATAATGAAGCCTACGAGGCAAATCCTCCTTCAAATACACCCTCAAAAATTTCCCGTTCTCAACTTTCCCAGAGCTCAACCCCTCATTCATCTTAGCAACAACATCTTTAGCATCATAGCCAGAAGGAGGACGAATCGCAAGCACAGGAGTATGTGTCACAACCCAATCCGCATTCACATCAATCCAAGGAGCCAAATCATCAAGAAAAATCAACTTTTTATCACAAGTACCAACCATTCCATGATCACCAACCATAATGACAGTAACATCCTCAAAAACCCCTTTTTCCTCCAAACCCTTAATCAATCTCCCGATCATGGTATCAATCCTGGCAACAGCCTGAGTAATCTGAGGGTCATCAGCACCAACCTTGTGACCCTGATGATCAGGGTCCTCAAAATAAAGCGTCATGAAATCAGGAATTTGATCACTAGGCAAATCAAAGTAGCCCAAAACGGCATCAACCCTATCCTCAAACGAAACAGAAGCATTATAGTGGATACAAAAACCAACAGGGCAAGACCAAGGACCCTTTTTTACCTCAGAGCCTGGCCAGAAATAGGTGGCAGCTTTTAAGCCGTTTTTGACAACAGTTTCCCACAAGGGTTCACCGAGCCACCACTTGGGGTCGTGGCTACCCATGTAGAATTCTTCGCCGGAGAGAGGGTCCTTGAAGCGGTTGTTGATTATGCCGTGGTGAGCGGGGTAGAGGCCGGTGGCGATGGAGTAGTGGTTGGGGAAAGTGAGAGAGGGGAAAACCGGAATCAAACCGGTTTCTGCTTCGGTTCCGTTTGCGATCAAACGGGAAATGTGGGGGGTTGGGGTTTTGAATTGGTAGCCGAAGCGGAATCCGTCGGAGGAGACTAAGATGAGGGCGGGGCGTTTGAGTTTGGAGAGAGGACGAGAGAGGATAGAAGGTGGTGGTGGTGGTGGTGGTGGAGGTTGTGGTTTTGAAGAGAAGAAGAGGAAGGCGAAGGCGAAGGATGATGATAGAGCGATGCATGTGATGACGATGAGGATGATGAAGAGGGCTTTGTGGGAAGAGGGAGATGGTGATGATGATGATGATGATGATGATGATGATGATGAGTCAGTGTTGAAAGAGAGAAGAGCTTTGGATGAAGATGAAGGTGAGTGTTGGTCGTCATGGTCTTGGGTTGGGAGTGGTGTGGGCTTTGTGGAAGTGAATGCAGAGGAAGGCATGGTATGGTGTTTGAGTGGAATCCTTCTTCTTCTTCTTGGGAGGTTATGGATGGATGATGGAAAGAAAGAGTACAAGAGTTTGAGTGAGATCCAATTCAAGGTTTGGAGGAGTTGGATGGATGTCAAAGTCAAAGACAGTGAATGTTTTAAGGTCATTGGTGGAAACATCGTTGGAAGATGCCCAATAACTAAGCAACAATCAACCCAATGTCGCCAAAAATTATAAAACTGATTTTATACGTATTAACAAATAATAATAGTCTACCTTTAATTTTACTACTTTTAAATAAGGGAAATATGGATTCTCTCAAAACATGTTCCAAAATTATTTCCAATAATTAAAAATATTCATTTAAGCTATAAAATATTATATTAAATAATTATTTTATAATAAATTTATTAAAAAATATTAATATTTTAATATTTTGGACAACGATTCAAACATTTTATTTTGAGGCTGTAGCCTTGAAGCGGTTGTTGATTATGCCGTGGTGAGCGGGGTAGAGGCCGGTGGCGATGGAGTAGTGGTTGGGGAAAGTGAGAGAGGGGAAAACCGGAATCAAACCGGTTTCTGCTTCGGTTCCGTTTGCGATCAAACGGGAAATGTGGGGGGTTGGGGTTTTGAATTGGTAGCCGAAGCGGAATCCGTCGGAGGAGACTAAGATGAGGGCGGGGCGTTTGAGTTTGGAGAGAGGACGAGAGAGGATAGAAGGTGGTGGTGGTGGTGGTGGTGGAGGTTGTGGTTTTGAAGAGAAGAAGAGGAAGGCGAAGGCGAAGGATGATGATAGAGCGATGCATGTGATGACGATGAGGATGATGAAGAGGGCTTTGTGGGAAGAGGGAGATGGTGATGATGATGATGATGATGATGATGATGATGATGAGTCAGTGTTGAAAGAGAGAAGAGCTTTGGATGAAGATGAAGGTGAGTGTTGGTCGTCATGGTCTTGGGTTGGGAGTGGTGTGGGCTTTGTGGAAGTGAATGCAGAGGAAGGCATGGTATGGTGTTTGAGTGGAATCCTTCTTCTTCTTCTTGGGAGGTTATGGATGGATGATGGAAAGAAAGAGTACAAGAGTTTGAGTGAGATCCAATTCAAGGTTTGGAGGAGTTGGATGGATGTCAAAGTCAAAGACAGTGAATGTTTTAAGGTCATTGGTGGAAACATCGTTGGAAGATGCCCAATAACTAAGCAACAATCAACCCAATGTCGCCAAAAATTATAAAACTGATTTTATACGTATTAACAAATAATAATAGTCTACCTTTAATTTTACTACTTTTAAATAAGGGAAATATGGATTCTCTCAAAACATGTTCCAAAATTATTTCCAATAATTAAAAATATTCATTTAAGCTATAAAATATTATATTAAATAATTATTTTATAATAAATTTATTAAAAAATATTAATATTTTAATATTTTGGACAACGATTCAAACATTTTATTTTGAGGCTGTAGCATAGTTCTTTAAATAATAGTAAATATATATAACAAAAACATCACTACTTTAGAAGATTCAATTAAACTTAACATTATCGCATTTTAAGGAGATCATTGGATAATCACAAAGAATGATAACCAGTAATTTAAGTCACAAACTTGAGTCAAATGAGTTTGTGTTTCATCCATCTTATATACATAAAAAAAAAAAAATTAATATTATTTTTAAATTAAGATTAAAAAATCATTTAACAATGTACTTAGTCATATATTCTTTATGGGCATCAAATTTATGATTCAACGATAGTTTTGTTCCATAAAAGATATTTGATATTTTCATCACTGCTGAAATTAATATAAAGTGAATATTATATTAATTTAAATAGTACTTTTGAAACTGTTTCAAATATTGAAGGAAAAATATTTTACATTTTATAATTATTCAATTTGCAAAATTGGATAACTAATACAACAAGACCATTAGAAATATGTAGAACTTTCTTCAAGTAATTTAAATAATACTTTTGAAATTGTTACATATATTGTACAAAAATACATTTTACCTTTATATTTAATTAGAGAACTAATACAATGACCATTAAAGATATGTAGTAGAGCTGTCAAAACGGGCCAACCTGGTCCATGTGAGCTAGCCCACCTTAACCCACTTTAAAAACGAGCCAATCCAACCCGGCCTACTTTTGATTTTCTAAAAAAAAATTTGGCCCGGCCAACTTTCTAAAATAATAAATTTGTTCGATCTCGACTTGGGTCAATTTAAAAAATTGAAAAACTTGATAAAATAATAAGATAATAAATTTTCAGGAGATCTCTTTATAATGTAATTCTTGTATTAAGAGCTCGATGCTAGATACAGTAATAAGGACTTAATCTTATCCTAACTGGTTGGGTTTGTTATACGGATCAATTGGCGTCGCTAGATATTTAAAATAGTTTTTGTTTAGACTTCCTTTTTCTATGATCCATATTTATTACTTGCATTTAACGTGAAGTGAGAGATTTCATGTGATCCGTCCCTATTCGCGACCTTATAGCACCAGCCATGGAAATAGTCTTCTGTGCTACGTCGGACATTGGTCATGGAACAAGGAATGACAATGATATCAGAATGTACGGTTAGCAATTCAGGGAATGAAGTACAGACGTAACTTGTATGTTCATTCTACTTGAAACCCCCGACAAAATTATGGCAAAAGTTTTGTCCTTCAGTACATGCAACGAGTATTTTTTTCTTCCTTTTAATAAATAAAGTATAACTTCTTTCTTACTAACTCGGCTATTATAAAAATAAAATACAGGAGAAATTCTTTAAATTAATACTCGGTAAATTAATAAACTTTCTAAAATAATAAATTTGTTCGATCTCGACTTGGGTCAATTTAAAAAATTGAAAAACTTGATAAAATAATAAGATAATAAATTTTCAGGAGATCTCTTTATAATTTTCGGTCCCAAGAAAATCATAAATTAATAATTCATAAAAACTGAAAAAAAAATATATTACACTTTATTGAAATATGATTCAATAGTTGTCTGTTTTTCTTTAAAGTGTCCTTCAGTACATGCAACGAGTATTTTTTTCTTCCTTTTAATAAATAAAGTATAACTTCTTTCTTACTAACTCGGCTATTATAAAAATAAAATACAGGAGAAATTCTTTAAATTAATACTCGGTAAATTAATAAACTTTCTAAAATAATAAATTTGTTCGATCTCGACTTGGGTCAATTTAAAAAATTGAAAAACTTGATAAAATAATAAGATAATAAATTTTCAGGAGATCTCTTTATAATTTTCGGTCCCAAGAAAATCATAAATTAATAATTCATAAAAACTGAAAAAAAAATATATTACACTTTATTGAAATATGATTCAATAGTTGTCTGTTTTTCTTTAAAGTTCAAGTCTATTTGAAGCTCATCTCTAACTTTTCTTATTGCATCCAATAGTTCAGGTGTTATATTTTTGTGTTGTATCATAAAGTTGTGAAGAGTGTTCGACGCCATAAGTGCTTCCTTTCGCGTAACAGGCTCCAAAGACACTGTATCATCTTCGCTGTCATCTTCTGCAAAAACTTGATAAAATAATAAGATAATAAATTTTCAGGAGATCTCTTTATAATTTTCGGTCCCAAGAAAATCATAAATTAATAATTCATAAAAACTGAAAAAAAAATATATTACACTTTATTGAAATATGATTCAATAGTTGTCTGTTTTTCTTTAAAGTTCAAGTCTATTTGAAGCTCATCTCTAACTTTTCTTATTGCATCCAATAGTTCAGGTGTTATATTTTTGTGTTGTATCATAAAGTTGTGAAGAGTGTTCGACGCCATAAGTGCTTCCTTTCGCGTAACAGGCTCCAAAGACACTGTATCATCTTCGCTGTCATCTTCTGCATTGTTCTCAATGATAGTACCCACAATATCTTTTAAACTCTGAACCTCCGAACATGCTTCATTTTCACTTGAAAATGTCTAAGGTACACACACCATAAACATCAAGCAAAATTAACTAATAATCATGCTTAAATTTTTGTTGCAAAAAAAAAATGGTGGGTTGGTGGGTTACCCGGCCCACCACGAGTTTAGCCCGGGTGGGCTGGGTCAAAGTGGGCCGGATTGAGATATACCCACCTACTATAAAACTTCAATTTTTTTTGGCCCGGCCTGGCCCGTTCTCAAGGTGGGCCGGGTTGGCCCATGGGTCCCGGCCCACTTTGACGGCTCTAAATTATGTAGGACCATTAGAAATATTTAATATAAATATTTTATAAGATATTTGAGGAAAATGTAATTTTATATTTTTTCATGTATAATTTTTTTATAATTATTTTTGGTAGCAACTTAATATTAAAATACAATTTTGATATATTTATATCCAACTTTTTATTTTTTTAATATGTATTTAAAAGGAGACTAATTTAATAACCGATAGAATATGTGATTTAAAAATTTATTTGCTTTAGTATGATAATTTGATATAATTGTATCATTCAATAATTATTAAAATATATTTATTCAAATTTTTTCTTTTATTTTGATATATTTGTGTATATATGTCTTCTTATAATATTTTTTTATCATAATACATATAAAAATGTTTAAGAATGAGTTATTGGAAGAAATAAATATCTAGAACATATTTATTGGAATAAATTATTGAAGGAAAGTTTTATATGTGTAAAATATAGCAATTATTAATTTATTTTATTCTTATAATAAAAACATTTATATGAAAAGTTTTGGAGAGAACTAGAAGAGTTTTGAAGGAAAGAGAGTTATTATAGAATTTTCTCCTTTATATTATTAATTAATAGATAAATTGATAAAAAAATTTACTTTCACCATTACATCCTTTAATTAATTAAAAAAATTAAAATTAAGCGATTTTTAATGTCCCTTTAAAGTTTTGAAAAATTGATTTTTATTTCTCAAAATTTTTATTATTTTAGTACTTTTAATTTAAAATGTTTTTTTTTTTATCTTCTAAGTAGTTTATAATTTAGATGGTGCTTAAAAATTGTACTTTTTAGGTCAACCACTTTTAAGTTGGTCTCCTCATGAAGAATGTCTTTTAGGCTGATATCCTTGAGAGTTGAGACTGGCCACCTTCAAGTTAACCACCTTCATGTTAATTACTTATAGTTTGACATAAGCAAGAAATTTACCTCTTGAAATAACTTCCTTAGAACAATCACTTTTATATCAACCACCTTTAATTTTACTTCTTAAGTCGATTATCTTCAAGTTAACCACATTTAGCCGACAAATTGCCTTGACACTATAAACCTTGTAATAGATAATTGAAACAACGATTATTTAAGATTAAGACGTATTATCCAATTTTAACAAACGACAAATTAACTAATCACATTTTGTGTTATGCAAAAAAGTGAAACATGATACTATAAACTACCTTCTAAAAGAGAGGCAATGAGAAATTTAAAAGGCAAAGACTCTAAAATTCGAGAGAAGTATTTTTTCAAAAAATTAAAGATACTTGTTTGTTTTTGAATGTTTTGATTGTAGATCATTTCTATTTCTAAAAAAAAAAGTAAATATTAAGGTGTTATCTAAATTAAAAACTAAAATATGATGATTTTTTTTAAGAATAAAATCAAACATATTTTAAAGAGATAAAAATATTTTATCCTGATTTATATTTAGTGAAAAAAAAATACCACCCAACAGTTTTTAAATCCATGATTTTTGTGCGAGACCCTAGAATCCGTCAGCCAACTGTTTGCCTTCTATAAGTCGTTTTATTGGTCAACGAAAGCTGACGGTGCAAACACACCAAACACATTGAACAAAAAAAAAAAAAAAAGAACTCCAAAAGGCACGTATATACGGTGGAAAATAGGCATTTCATGTTTCTAAAAATATTATTTAATAAAAAAAATTAGAATATGTAAATTAAATGAGATAATTTATATATTGAAAAAGGGTAAATGATCTTGAATAAAGATGGAGACTACATGTTGTTACAAAATAAGTCGATAATTAATTTTTATATATATTTTTATTCTATTTTACTTTTGAGAAAATACAATAAAAGGATATAAATGTCTAAATAAATGTAAAAATCAAAAAGAGACATCCCTTTATATATATTAGTGGAGTTGAATTATTCTATGTCTATATGTATTTTGTCTAAAAACACTATTAAATAAAAAAATAAAA